GAAAAAAAATAGATCTCATTGTTGCACATTTACCCAATGTCAACATCAGTTGAGATAACCGTAAGGAAATTCTGCTTCTCTTTTGAACCACGCAAACTCCTGAATACTAGATTAAATGCAAAAATAAAAGATACTTGGCCTCTAATGATTAAGAAACCTAAAATGGTTCTAGGTGTTTTCCTCCTCTCAAGCAACCTCACTTGAAAACATCATGACTTGTGGCTGCCTGATGGTGCTGATCTTGGGGGGCCCTTTTCTCCTTTAGAACTGGACTCTCGGTTAGCATTTGGTAGAGACAGCTCAGAATCCTAGCTGGCAAATGCTCTGCCTTCATCAGCAAGTAAAGTGGCTCTATCATTTCCTCTCTGTTGAAACCATAGAACCTTGAGTCTCATTCTTCTTCAGAATGAACTTTCTATATGCTTTTACATTGAGTAAGTATAATTTCTATCTTTTCCCCTAAAAATAGAAAGTGCATCTTGAATCCATCGTGGAACACAAACATTTTAAAAACTGATGTTTTTAGTGTATGATTGGTTATCTCTTATGTAAATCTGATTGTGTGAGAGACAAGAAAGTAAAAGGATATCTGTTGTCTGAAATTGTAGGTGTGCTCTTTCATCACCTTTGTAGACTGCCCTTTATGTGGCAGGTGCTTTGCTGGGTGTTAAAAATGTGTGAGGGAGAGTTTTTGCTGTCGCAGAACTTGTCATCCAGTGGTGAATGCAGACCAGTGATGGAGCAGTTACTATGTGGTTTAAGTACTATGAAAGGTAAAAATGTAGGACACCCAAGGGAACAGGGTCCAGCCCAGATAAGACTTTCTAAAGAAGGTTATTTCCAAACAGATGTGAAGGGTCCGGGGTGGGGAGCGGCAGGGGGAGCAGAGCGGGCAGAGGCAGTTCTTGAATGCGGCTGGCAGCATGGAGTTGGAGATGGGTTGTGACAAGAGGTGAGGCTACAAGTAGGTAGGAACCAGGGGTTGGGAGTTTGGTGAGGGCAGGGGGAAGCCGCCAAGGGTTTAGAGTAGGGAAGTGACTTAACTGGATTTGCATTTTGTGATCCGGACTGAGTGCTGTTGCAGGGGCATGACCTGGGAGGGCAGCTGGGAGCTGCTGTTGTCGTCCAGGTGAGAGCAGCGGGCTCGGGGACTAGAGTTCAGGGAGTGGAAGCAGGGAAGTAAGAGCTTTTGGAAGTCAAATGAGTGGGACTTGGTGGGAGGCCTAGAGAGGGACCAGTGGAGCGTAAAGCTACCACCACCACTACCACTACCGCTTTCTCATCCTATGTAACCTGTTACAGAAGTAAAGCTTCTATGATCACCAATTTTTGGTAACTATTATATCCTCCTCTTGGACATTCCCCATGCTCTGAAGCGTATTAAAAGTTCCAAGTGGTCCTGCAGTAGTTTCTGCCTATTTCCCTGCCATTTTGTGAAATACCTATTAACATACACTGGATATTTGGATATTTATCATGCTTTCTGTCTACCAACCTCCTTTTGAGTACCCTTGCTAGGTTTGGGGAATGGTGTCAGCCAAATCACTCCAATCTCTCCCAGGACAACCTAAAAAACATCTCTGACTCCTTTGCGTTTGGGCCCCAGGCATGAGGGGAGGCCATAAAGCCGCTTAGCTCTTGGTGGGTGTTGTTGCAGGGTGCTTAGTGCTTGGTGATGGTGGTAGTACCAGGCTCCTCATCTAGCCAGTCCGATGGCATGGGTTTGGCCATTTTTTCCTAAAAGTTTAGCCTTGGATTGGTCTCTCTAGACCTCCTCAAAATTCCATGAGTTACCCAATATCCTTTCAATAATCTGTTTTCTGTTTAATCAGCCAAAGTCAGCTTCTCCTAACTTGCAACTAAGATCCTGACTGGCAGAATATTACACAAAAGGAGTATTCCAGGGAGCACACTTTGAGGAGGGTTGATCTGTGTAAAACTAGGGAGCTGCTTCAAACCAAGCATGATGTCGTCTGCCAGCTAAGGGGGCTTCGGGCCATGTGTAGTGGAAGAGCCCAGGCTGGCAGATTGACTTGGGTTATGGTCTTGGTTCCTTCATTAACCACCTGGGCAAGTGACTTATTCTCTCTGAACCTTGCTTTCTTCATTTGGGCCTGTTAGAGCTACCTTGCAGAGTTGTTATAAGGACTAAATGAAATAATGCATGTAAGAAATAGAACTCTGATTTTTTTTATTACAAACTAGTTTTTAAGTCCCTATCCTGAGTCTTTGTCCTATGTGTATCTATAGTACCCAAGAGCACCTGGCATGTGGAAGATGCTCAGTTACTGTTGGTTGAACGAATGAGTGAATCCTGACTTTGGTATTGAAATTGAGTTTGTACATAATTACACTAACTCATAAGTTTTCTTACATAATTTATTTGGCTGTAGGAGAGGTTTTTCAGATAGAAAGCTAATGCTAAGACTTGTCCTTTCAATAACAGTAGGGAAACTAGAATAACTGTCGATTACAACTTTGTTAAGTAAATCAAGAGATGTGTCCTGGCTGGAAGTTGCTTTTTCAATTTTAAGTTTCCTACAATTATCTATCAATATCAGATTTATTCTTTTCCCTGCTCTACCCTGAAAACCATTCACAAAAAAAAACCCAACAAGTTGTTATTATGGAAAATTTTAAGCACATGTAAAAGTAGAAAGAGGAGTATAACGAATGCCCATGTACCCATCACTCCAACAATTGTCAACATATACATAGCCAGTCTTGTCTCTCATATATGCTCTGTCTCCGTCCTCCCTCACCCCACAAAGGATTGTTTTGAAGTAAATCCCAAATATTTTATCATTTCTTTTATAAATATTCCAGTAAATATCTCCAAAGGATAAGGACTCTTAACCATAATACCATATCACCTAAAAAATTAACAATAATTTCATACCATTAAATATTCAGCCCATATTTTCCCAATTGTCTCATAAATGTCTCTTTTACAGTTTGTTTGAATCAGATTCAGATAAAGTAAATTTGAACAGCAACAGTTTGGAAAAACACAACCTAGGGGCTGGGACTGAGTTTCTGAAATCCCTGTTTCTGAATTACATCTGATTACATTTGTGAACTTAACTTATGCATGTAGAATATGTTTCCAATAAATAATGTAGAGTGATTCCTGCCAAGAGCTTCCACAGTAAACAGCATTCTCATAGTGAACACCACTACTCTCTCTTCATGTATTAACAACCACATAGGAAATGGGGAATCCAACACACAAGCCACAATCAAAGTCCAGGATGGCCACTGTGCAGCATCCTTAGAGAGCTCCCAGTCCAGATAAGAAGCAGGAGGATAGGAAGGAGATCGCAGGGAAGAAATTGGAACGGATATGTTTGACCGTATGGAAAACACTGTTGATAGACAGAGATGTTGGACATTTGGAAAAAAATGACAGATTGATGGGAAACCAGGATAAAGGCAATTATAAACTCCATTAAAAATGAAGGGTTGCACAACAAAGGAACTGTGGTTTTAGTGGACTTCTTAGTGCAGCAGTGAGCAATACTTGCATTGTCCTAGTACTTTAGACAGTGACTGTTGATTTAATCAAGACTTGTACAGTTTTGTTGGATGAAGGGAGAAAGGGAGGAGGGAGTATAGGAGAGCTAAGTCCTTACCTACCAGGGCAAGAAATCAAGAAATAACGTATGACAGCGACAAATTAGAAAGAGCAATAGCTTATCATTTGGGAGTATGGAGATGATAATAAGAGAAATAGGTACAACAGTTGAGAATGTTTGCTTCCTAGAAAGGGCTTGGGAAGAAAGAAGGCAAGGGACTGCTGTTCTTCCTTTTAGGACTTTTCAAATGGTGTATGCACGTGAAGTACTTCTTTTCAGTGAGGGAGCTAGAGAAATATGAATTTGCTAGATGGAGTAGTTCATTTTACAAGTAGAGGAACAGGTGTAGAGAGCCTTTCACCCAATTTGGGAGCCCTTGCCCTCCTCTTAGTCATTTTCTGTGTTCCTCCCTTTACCTGGTGTTACCCATTACAATTTGGATTTCTTCAGTTTACTAGCTCTTCAGTACATACCAGCAAATTCAGTAGGAGACTGTGTATTGCAATTATTACAAACCAACTCAAGCCTGTCCATGTAGGGTCAATCCTGTCTTTGTCATTTACAAATCATGTGCTCTTAGGCAAGTAGCTTAACTTCTCTGCGCCTCAGTTCTCTCATCTCTAACAAGGGGATACTAACATCACATGGGACTGTTGGGTTAAATAGCCTAATACTTGCAAAGCTCTTAGAGCAGTGTCTGGCACATAGTGATGGCTCAATAAATACTAAATGCCAATGGGACACTCACTCTCCAAATAGGGAACAGAATCCATTATAATTACCAATGAGTCTGAAGGGACTGATCAAAACAGGGATAGGTTCTGCAGGCTTTTTAAAATTCAACTTTATTCAGGTTAACCTACAGGTAATAAATCTCTTATTACTATAAAATATTCTACAGTTTGATGAATTTCGATAAATGTAGCACCCACATAGCAGTCACCACAGGCAAGATACAGAACATTTCCATCACTCCAAAGGATTTCCTTACATCACTTCCCAGTCAACTCCCATCCCCAACCCCTGGCCCCTGGCAACTACTGTCCAGCTTCTATCACTGTAGATTAGATTTGTGGTTTCTAGAGTTTCATATAAATGAAATTACAGTATAATCAAATAGTACAATACTCTTGTTTCTGGCTTCTTTTACTCAACGTATTTTTGAAAATTTATCTATGTTAATATGAGTATCCATAATTCATTCCTTTTTCTTTCTTTTTTGTTTCTCCTTATACCTGTTGATGGGCATTTCAGTTGCTTCCAGTTTGGTGCTATTATTAATAAAGATTCTATGAATATTCATGTACAAGTCTTATGGATATTTTCACTTTTCTTAGGAATACCTTGGAGTGGGATTGCTGGATCATAAAGGCTGAATGTATGTAACTTTAAAAGAAACTGCTAAACTGTTTTCTAAAGTAGTGTCCCATTTTAATTCCCACCAGCAATTTTTGAGAGTTCCAGTTGCTATACATCCATTAAAATGGCTAAAATGAGAAAGACTGACAATCCTGGTTTGGGGAAGGATATGGAACACTGGTTCTGTTGATTTTTTGGCAAAGAGGATGCCCTTACACTGTTTTCTCAGCACTCTAGAACAATAGTAATTAGTGTCTATTTTGATCATAACCATTTAAGGTTTGTCACTTTCCAAAGGCTGGGTAAATTAGATGGGATTTAGGGCAATCCGTATTAGGATTAAATCCTAATTTACAAGTAGAATTAAATCCTAATTAACAAGCAGAAGTGACTTGTTCTAACCTAGATATTTTTTCAGTGTTTAATTTGGCCAAACAAACAACAAGGCAGGCGATAGATTTGAAGGGCAAAGATGTAAATATCCTACAGCACAAAATTGATCTGGCTCATTTCAGCCAATGATATGTTTTCTTTAAAAAAAAATCTTTTAGAATATTGTTCTCTATTTGAAGACATTTTTAACCTGCTAGTACAAAATAAAGAATTGAAAGACTACTTCAGCAATTGGTGTATTTTTTTCACTTTTGCTCTTGGTCATTACCATTCAAATCCAGCCGCCTACTTCCCGGGAAAATCCACAGGACTCCGCCCCTCGGCCAGGTCTGGCCCCGCCCATCCTCTCCTCTACGCCTGCGCGCTCTCCGCTCCAGCCCCCTCCTCGCCCTGACACGCCGCGCGCCTGCGCACTGCTTCCCCACGTGGGCTCGGGCCGTCAGCGGGCCTAGCCGAGCAGCGGCGCGAAGCCCCCCTCAGGCGACAGGACCTTGCCACCGGCTCGGCAGCCTTGAGCGTCTTGCTCTTGCCCTCCTCTCTTGGTCTTTTCCCCGGCGCGTATCGCCATGGGCAAGAGCCGGACGAAGCGCTTCAAGCGACCTCAGTTCTCCCCTACCGGGGACTGTCAGGCCGAGGCGGCGGCGAACGGCACTGAGCAAGAGGAGGACGAGGGGCCGGCGGCGGAGCTGCTGGAAAAGGTGAGGCGGGGGTGGGGCGGGCCTCCCCCGGAGTCCCGGGACAGCGCCGCGCGCCGCTGCCGCCCCGGCCCGCGCCTGCGCTCTGCTCTCGCTCTGACGCTTGTCCCCTCCCGCAGCTCCAGCATCCTAGCGCCGAGGTCCGCGAGTGCGCCTGCGCGGGGCTGGCCCGGCTGGTGCAGCAGCGGCCGGCGCTCCCGGGCCTGTTGCGCCGGGATGCTGTGCGCCGCCTCGGGCCGCTGCTGCTCGACCCCAGCCTGGCCGTGAGAGAGACGGCGGCCGGCGCGCTGAGGTGAGCCGGGAGGGGTTCCGGGGCGGTGTCTCGGATCCGGGCGGCGCGGCGTCCAGCCAGCGCCTTCGGTGTATCCCGTTTCATGCTCAGGTCTCTTGTCTTCGGCAGTTCGAGAAGGCCAAGAACTGCCCAGGGTCTGCCGTTTGCAGGAGGGAGATTTGAACTCAGGCTTCCGACTCGAGAGGCTGCCGTGACCCCCAGACCGCACACATTCCATAGGTCCTCCTGGCTGTTCGCCTGCAGCAGCCACCTGTCAAGCTCCCTCTAGGCCGAGCGCACATTGCGCCCTCTCCAGGAAGCCTCCGTAGAGTCCTGAGGTTCAAGGAGCTCTTTCAGTGTGAGTGCCAGGTGCTCGAGGTGCAGAGGATTTTGAGCAGGCAGGACAGTGAGCAAGGCAGCCAAGTTCCCGGGCTTCACAGAACCCATGTTGATGAGGAGACAGGACACTAGCAAACAGGTAAAACGTAATATTAGATAGTGAGAAGTGCTGTGGAGAAAACCAAGAGGATGATGAGTTGGGGATGGGAAGTTTTGCAATTGGGTGATCTTTAGATGACGTTTGCGAACTGAGAGCTGATGGATGAGAGAGCCAGACTTGGAAAAACAGGGGGAAAAATCATTCAAAACAGAAGGAACAGCAAAGAAGTGCGCCAGCAAAGGGCTTGGCGTGGTTAAAGAACAGCAAGGTTAGTGCGGCTGAGTAGAGTATGGGGTAGGGTATTATAGGAGATGAGGCTGGAGGGATGGACAAGGATTCCATGGTGTAGGGAGAAAGGATCTGTTGTAATCAGGAGTAACGTCTCATTTACATTTGGAAAAGGCCACTCTGGTGCCTGTCCAGAGAATAGACTGTAGAGCGAGCAAGAGGAGAAGTTAATGTTTGTAGTTCTTATAGCTCTGTCTATATTTATTATGTTTCATTCATTCATTTAGCAAATATACATTAAGTGCCAGCTGTGTGCCAGGCAGTCATCTAGGTTGTGGGCATGTGATAGCAAGACAGACATAATTTCTGTCCTTAACGGATCTTACACTATCGAGAGAGACAGGCATTAACCAAACAATCACACAAGTGTATAATTACAACCAGTGACAATTACAAAGGATGCTGTGAGAGGGCATAACTGGGGGTTCAGGGAAGAAAACCCTAAGGGAGTGATGTTTGAGATGAGATGTGAGGGATGAGTGGGGATTGACCACTTGGTGGAGGAAACAGCATGTAGAAAGCCCTGCCCTTCCCGCCGAAACGTACACACGCTGGGAGCTCCTGGAAGACTGTGAGGCATCCTGTGACTTGTCTTTATATCCTAAGTGCTTAGCACAGTGCTGTGCACTCAGAAGGCAAGCAGTGTCTTCCCAATTAAGATTAAATTTAGTCAGGGTTGCTTTGGAGGTGTCATTCTCAGTAGCCTCACCCCTGCTGCCCTTGAAGTCTTGATTCCAAGAAAAGGTCTGTTCATATAAGATCAGGCTGTGATTTATTAACATTAAATAGGAGAGGTCTTTTCCCCTCTTCCTTCCCTATAACCACACACCTGTGTACTGTCTCAGACCTCAGAACTAAGCTCTCACATGACAGAGTCATTTGTTGACATCATGTACAACAAGGATTAGAAGAGATGAAAATCTGTGCATTGGTTCTGCAGCATCTTACAGAAATCATAAGCAGTTTCATCTGGGAAACCTTAAGTATGAAATAAATTTGAGAGCTTAGTATTTTATGACGTGATCTGAAAGTAAAACATTTAAACTTCTTGTGTAGAAATCTCAGTGCTTGTGGAGGCTTTGAAGTTTGTGACGACATGGTGACTAAGGATATCATGACTCCTCTGGTGGCACTGCTAAAAGAGGTATGCAGGTTTTAAAGCATCTTCCTGGCAATTTTTAAATGTAGCTTTTAGTATACAAACTTAGGTTTTTTTGTTTTGTTTTAGTACTTTGGTGTTAGTTGCTTTGTCTTCCCTCAAGACATCCTATGGGAATTTTATTTCTTTTCCTGGGAACACTGATCTCATCATTGATACAGTCTCATGTTATTTCATCCCCACTACTTTTATTTATATGCTAGTTGGAAAAGGCCTTCCTGAAACTATAGACTGACTCCTTTAGACTCTAAACTTCATACAATAAAAATTAGTATTTATTGATTGCTTATTTATGTGCCAGGTGCTGTTTTTTGTTTTGTGTCTTATTTAATCTTCACAGCAGTCTTATTTAGCAGGTATATTATTCCTCTTTCAGAGATGAGGAAGCTGAGACAGACACTAGGAATTTGGTGTGAAGATGATGTTAAGTCCTCAAATTTAAAATCATGCCAGCCTATTGCACGACGTAGTTCTGGGATTAAGGAGCTGGCTCTCTGGAGTGCCTCTAGTCCACTATTCTGTATTGATGGGTGACTTTCACTTAAGGCTGTATAAAGAATATCCAGTTTTGATGAGAGGTGTCACTCTTGTTCCCTTTGGAGCAGTGGTTCTACTTGGGATGATTTGCCCCTCAGAGGACATTTGGCAATGTCCGGAGCCATTTTTGATTGTCACTGCTTGGGGGTGGGGGTTGCTACTGGCACGTAGTGGGTAGAGGCCGAGGATGCTGATAAAGATCCCACAGTGCACATGACAGCCCCCCACAACGCAGAACCATCTGGTCCAAAATGCCAGTCATGCCGAGATTGAGCAGCCCTGCTTTGGCAGGTGTTTGGATTATGCTGGAGGGGCAGGACTGCAGAGTGGCTCGGAGCCCCGACTTTGGAGCCGGCGTGCCTGGCTCTGAACCACAGCTTTGCCATACATTAAGCTGCACGTCTCTGTTCGGTTTCCTATTTGTAGAGAGACTGGGGGCAATAGTTCATCTCCTTCGTAGGTTTGGGGTGAGGATTAAATGACTTGATATATATTAAGTGCTTAGAAAAGTGCCTTGCACACAGGTGATACATAGATGTTAGGTCTTACTATGCATTACCTTTCTTTGCCTTATACAGTATCCTTATCACGTTAGATGAAATGCTTTGTATTGATTTTACGCTTGCATTTAAAATGTGAAATCCTTTATGTCTAGTTTGTACAATGACTTGTGAACCTCTCTTGTCTGTATTTCTTGACCAGAAAAGGGCAGGGTTGTGGAAACTGTACTGCTTATGAGGATTTGATTGGTTCGTTAACCACTCTAATTTCTGATGTTCAGTTTTTGTGATTCTTCACTATCATTAGTCTTCTTTGTTTAATTATTCTTTTGAACCAGGGTGCTAATCATGATATTTGGTTACAGTGTAGTGCTGGACTGGATTCAAATGAGATGTCTCCGGAAAAAAAAGATCGGAGCAGAAATTCTATTGAGAACATAGCCAATGAGGCCGTGAATGTGCTGTGGAATATCTGGTAAGATGCTTTCCAAGTGCAGCCTCCTGTTACGGTGCCCCGCAGCTGCAGAGTTCTCCTTCGCAGGCCTTTAAATCCATGATGCTGACGCTTGGTAGGAGGCGGTCTCAGGGGCCCTGAGGTCAGCCTTCCTTCCCAAGCCCTTTCCTCAGAGCATCACTACATCTGTTTTTTTGCTTTACAACTCTTCTCTCCAGTCATTGCTGCTGACAAAAATAAGAGGAAGCATGGTCGTTAGCATCTACTGCACCCGGTTTCTCCTGCTCCGCTCACATACCTGAAGCAGCAGTTGTCTTAAAGCTAGTCAGGCCGCGGTGCACTAGCTGCTTGGCCTGGCATCTGGAATGAGAGAGGACCACAGACTGGCCAGTGGTTTGTTCCTCGACCTTGGCAATTGCCGTTTGACAGGGAGGTCAGTGCCTGAAAAGAGCTCCCTGGGAGGGTGTAGGCCATGCTGCATTCCATGATGGTAGCAGTAGTGGGCTGGAGTGGACTTGCTGTTAGGAATGAGAAGGGCTAGAAACACTACCTGGATTATTTTTTTCTACCCCATTTTATGTCCCACACTTCTAGCAAGATTCTGTCATGGTTCCTTATTTTCAATCTGCAGCAATTATAACTTCTGACCTAAAAGCACAGATATTTCTTAGAATACAACATTAAGGATCCTGAAAAGCTGCCTGCATAGCAATCTGAACTTGCTTAGGATTTCATTTTATACTGGTGGATACATTCCGCCAGAAAAATTGGCAAGATCAGATTGAGGAAATGGACTTTGAGCAAGCAGGTGGGTGCTGTTTTTCTGTGCATTAGAGAACTTAACTGATATAAATTGTTGAACTTGGAAGTTTTTTAAACATTTCTTTGAAAAGAACCTGAAAAAGTGATCTCCACAATGATCTCTTTCCTGAATGCCTGTGAGTCCTATCTGTATCATTTCCGGTTATCACAGCTCTTAACATTTTTGTTTCATAGTTTATCTTTTAAATTATATTTACACATGTATATATGTGATCTTAACTCATAGGTGCTTTATCTTCCTGATTATACCTGACTTTACTGATGGCTTCTTAAGGGTAGCTCATAGCAGTATTGCAGTAAGTGGATGGATGGATGGATGGATGGATGGAAAGAAAATAGTTTATCTTTAGATAACAGGATTGAATTTAATAATTTAGTCCGCTCTGATAGCTATTAGTGTGTCATGTATATGTGGTATGTACGGAGGAATACTTTTCTCTGGAAATATTGATAAAATTATTGTAATTAGCTCAGTTTACCCTGTATTTAGTATGTATGTTTATTAATGACATTGATAACATTAATATTGGTTCTTTTATTAAAAGGTAGTGTAATTTCAAAAATATTTTTTAAGTAATTTCTCTGTTGAAGACTGTACGTTGTTGAAATTATAATAGTGGTCTAGAAGGAATGAATAAAATTTAATTTTACTTTCTTTTAAATGTGTGCCTTTTGTGTGATAAATATGGAGACCTTTGACCCTCACTTGAACTTATTACTGTGGTCTAGTGGAAAGAACAGTCGGCTGGGCCCAAGGAACCACTACTGACAAAAATATGTGATCTTTGGTCAGATCACTTTGCCTTTTGGGCCCTGGGTTTCCTCATCTATAAAACGAGGAGTTCAAGTAAATGATTGCTCAGATCTCTTCCAGCTCTAACCTTCTGTAAGGAAACTGGCATGTGGGTAAAGAAATTGGTTAAAAGATCCTACTGTGATAGAAATAAAAATACAGATAGCCAGTAGTGCTCATGTACAGTGAATATGAGGGGGCATTGGTTTCTTCATCTGTAAAAATGGCGAGTGTTTGACTCCAATTCTTGTGTTCTTTTATAAAGCCTGATTTATCTTTTTGTGAATTTCTGTGGTTGATTTCTTGATGTTAAAATGTGAATAGTAAAACTTTTTTTTCCCCCCTTCAATTTAGTGAATGCAGTAGTAGAGCAGTGTCTATATTCACCAAAGAAGGGTGTTTGGAGATTGTGTTAAAGTGTTTAAGTAGGTTTTCCACCAATGTTGACCTGGCTATTTCAGTAGGTAAGTGAAGAAAAGGTGATAATTTATTAAGTGTGGGTGGCCTTATTCAAAAATTGTTATTCAGACATAGCATGTTTATTCTTCAGGAGCAATTTTTTTCTCATTGTATGTAAATGCATAGCTGAGTTCTGTTTGTTCTGAATCTTTTAAAATCTGTATTTAAAACTTTACTTACTCATAGAATTTTCCTGCTCTTCCCTCTGAAAGGGAAGAAGGTAATTATGTGAGTATATATAGTTTCTAGTGTATTCCCATTCTTAGAAGACTTTATTAATTCTTGAAGCTTTCATCTTTCATTTACTGAGAAATAGTAACCCACAACTACCAGGCCTTTTAGCCAAAGTTAATTGGAATCTAGACTTATTCAAATGTCTTGTACCACTATCTCATACTTCCAGCAGAAAACTGATAACCTGTGGTTTTTTGAGAGAGGAAAATAAGGGATTGAAATATCGCTGGGACCTGCTTTCCTTCTTTGGGACAAGGAAAGCACAGTCTGGCAGCTTCAGCTGCGTTGGCTCCCTTGGCTTCTCCACATGGGGTTAGAGAGCCATTGGGGGCCCTCACTCAGCAGGAGGAAGAGACAGAAACTGGAGAGTGGGTGGCTCAACAGAACTCTGGGGGAGAGTGGAGAAATAATTGATGAAAAGTGCTTCTCTTGTACCCATGATAATGGTGGGCACCCACCTCTCCTTTTATTTCCTATGCGTTTCTCCTGGCAAGGACAAAGTGTGTTTCCCTTACTGAAGTGTATTCCCTTACTGGTGTTTCTCTTGGCTCTAATGGATAAGCTTAGGAGAACAGAAAAGAAAAAGGAAATGGTGAAATAAACACTACTGGGAAAAATTTAAAAATCAGTTTCTTAAAATGGAGTCTCTGGCAGAAGGGAGATTTGTGAGTAAAAGTGAATTTAAAAACAGTTGAACTAAAAATTGATAGATGACTTTTAATCTCAGAGAACAGTTTTTATAACAATAAGAGAATTTCAGGAAAGTTAGTTCATAGCATTTAAAAGAAGAGCTTCTCTCCTATTTTACTAACTTTGGTCTTTTAGATTGCTATTTTTTTAGTTTTTTTCCTCTAATGAACTTTTAAAAAATGGATCAGGGCAAAGTAATTTTGCATTGTATAGTAGTGTTTTCCCTCTGCATTTAACTAGATTCATGATTTTTTAAACAAATGTGAAATTACTTTTGTTTTGAAAATTCAGCAGGGCTTGCAAATAGTAAAGTGAACTTATCTTGGCTTTTTGCTGAAGTGAATTTAATTAGTCTCTTAATGGAAAATGTTACATTTGCATATATGTCTATGTACATATATGCATATATGTGGATTTGTATACAAATGTATTTTGGGAACCAAACTAGATCATAGCAATAGCATGTATTTTGACTAATTTGGATGGCCATGATCTACTTTGAAATTTATAGACCTAGAAAGAAGTGGATTTGTATAGAAGACAGTATCTCAAAGAAAACAAATTTGGGCTTGCTTCCTCTTTTGTGCTTCGAAGATCTTTTCTGTCAACCTTTTATGCAATCCCAGTTGTTTTTATACTTTCAGTTAATTATTTCTAATATGCAAGTTGTAATCCATTGTCTTACTCTAATACTTTTTTTTTTTTTTTTAAGATTTTTTTTTATTTTTTCCTTTTTCTCCCCAAAGCCCCCCGGTACATAGCTGTGTATTCTTTGTTGTGGGTTCCTCTAGTTGTGGCATGTGGGACGCTGCCTCAGCGTGGTCTGACGAGCAGTGCCATGTCCGCGCCCAGGATTCAAACCGACGAAACACTGGGCCGCCTGCAGCGGAGCGCACAAACTTAACCACTCAGCCACGGGGCCAGCCCCTAATACTTTTTTTCTTAAAGAAATTGCTTCACCAGAAATAACTCTTAACTTTTAAGGTCATGCTGAATTTGAAAGAAGCCGGAGTGTCCCCAAACCTAGGGCTTGTTGTTAGTGACGGCAGGACTACTCTAAGAGTGTTGTCTGTGGCCTGATGTTTAGTCCACAGGCTGTTTGCTGCTGGTCCACCATGAGTACAGAAACTCAGGATGAACCTTTATAGTATGTTTTGTTTTTTGGTTTTGGGGGGTTTTTTTTTCTGAGGAAGATTCTCCCTGAGCTAACATCTGTTGCCAGTCTTCCTCTTTTTTTTGCTTGAGGAAGATTAGCCCTGAGCCAACATCTGTGCCAGTCTTCCTCCATTTTATATGTGGGATGCCACCACAGCACAGCCAACAAGCAGTGCAGGTCCACACCCAGGACCCGAACCTCTGAACCCAGGTCGCTGAAGCAGAATGCACCGAACTTACCCACTAGGCCACAGGCTGGCCCCTATAAATGTTTATAGTAATTTCACATTGTCACAACATTTAAAGGCCTTTTAAATTGTTTTTAATAAAAGTGTAGTTCTGTAAAGAATTAGAAATTAAGAAGAAGAAAAGCAAAATGATCTCGAAGCACTGATAATTTGAGAAGCCTCATTTGTGTGTCCCATCCTTGAGGTAAAGCATATATATCCAAAAAGCGACGTGTATCTGAAGAAGTTTACAGATGCAAATGTTTTTGGATAAGTTATTCTGGTGTAAATTATACCAGCAGGAGTCATTTGTTTCTGAATATTTAATTTTTGTCTTTTAGCTTATTGTTTACAGACAGTGACCGAAGATAACCCAGAGCTACTGAGATCTTTCAGTGCCCCAGCATTGCATGTGCTGGAGTCAGCGATGCTTTCTCCTGTCAGCTCCATGGAATACCTTCTATTAAAGACACTGCTATCAGGTACAATTTAGCCGTATGCAATAGTATGCTTGTTTAGTAACTCGTAATGGGTAGAGATGGAGGCCAAAATTGAATCATTCCTTCATTTCGCATCAGGGCCTTCCACACTTATGTCTACTCTGAAAAATTTTAATATTTAAATAGAGATGCTTAATTCAAGCAGTTGTGCCTAGTTGCAAAGCCTTCTAGAATAGATTTGTTTTCAATCTAAAGAACTACTGTTGTCTGAAAAAGAAATGCTGCTGTCAGGATCCCCTCTTATTTATGAGCCAGTGAGTTCAGAACTTAACTGTGGGCACCCAGGACATGACCACTCACTTTTCTATAAGTTCTTTACCCCCAACTCTTTTCTCCTTGGAATTTCTAAATCCAGAAATGAGAAATAATCTGATGATCTGTTGAGTAACAGGTAGTTTATACAGTTTCTGTATATATTTTCCTCTTGCCCTTTAGCCTTGCAGAGGTGGTTTTTTCCAAAGTGGCAAAATACGCGTAACAAAATTTACCATCTTAACCATTTTTAAGGGTACAGTTCAGTGACGTTAAGTACATTCACATTCACCAGTCTCCACAGCTCTTTTCGTTTTGCAAAACTGAAACTCGATACACATTAAATTACGCTCCATTTCCTCCTCTCCCCAGTCCTCAGCAACCACCATGCTACTTTCTGTCTCTATGAATATGACTACTCTAGGTGCCTCATATAAGTGGAATCATACGCTGTTTTTCTTTTTGTAACTGGCTTATTTCACTTAGCATAATGTCCTCAAAGTTCATCCATGTTGTAGCATGTGTCAGAATTTCTCTCCTTTTTAAAGCTGAGTAATATTTCACACTACATATATGTATACCACATTTTGTTGATCTGTTCATCCATGAATGGCCACTTGGGTTGCTTACACCTTTTGGCTTTTGAATAATGCTGCTGTGAATGTGAATGTAAAAATATATGTTTGAGTTCCTCCTTTCAGTTCTTTTGGGTATATACCAGGAAGTATTTTTATTTTCACAGTTGCTTTTTTTTTAATTAGTCTAACTACTTAATGGTAAGTCCTGTTCTATTTTGATAAGCGAAAAACCAAGAACCTGCTCTCTGGTTTGTTTGTGAGACCTTGGAATTTTAGTACATTCCATTCCACTCTTGGAATATAAGAAGCTACTTAGGAGAGCAACTCAGGTTAAGATGAAAGAAAGTGAGGCAACTTAATTTGTTGTTTCAGAAGAAACTTGATCAGTATTCTCTTGGTCTGCTGCTATGTGATGGATCAGAGAGAGGCCAAGGCAGGGAGATGATTGTGAAAGATTGTAATAAAGTGAGCTGCTTCTGTCTAAGGCTTTTTCACATTTAATAAAAACTGAACAAAGGCAGTAGGGTTAAGATTTTTTTGAAATTATACCTGAGCTTAAAGAACCAATCTTATGGAAACTGTATTCAATAAAAGATTTCACAGGCAATTCCTTTGTCCTTATGTTCATTTTTTCCAGGCACAATGTGGAATCTAAAAGACATTATTCCATCCAAGAGTCAGGCAGAAATCATAAATGCCATTCTAAAGATCTTATCTGAGGTTTTGGAAATGGATGCTGGCAAAATAGTTATTCAAATGAAGGAGGCTGAGACTCAGAAGTTAAAAACTGCTGCAGAGACCGAGGAAATATTAGAAAATGCTAATGGTGGTGTTGTGGTTGAAGATGATGAAATGGAAGAAACTCCTCCAAGAAGAAAAGTCAGAAGGAAAACTTTCATTTCAGATTTACTTCCAGTAAGTCAGATTGATGCTTTCAAACATAGATTAATACAGCTGTTTTCTTTCAAGACGTGTCCTAAGCTTTGTAGAAAAATGTTACAGCAAAATTAATTAGAAAGTGAATTTCAATAAAAATCAGTCATGTTTTCCCATTAACTCTCACTACAACATTAGAAATCTACTCCCAAAGGGGAAGGAAATCTCCTGTGTACAATGAACTTTTGTGTGCAGGTTTCAGAGTTGGGAGAGACCAACCCTTCAGAAGCCCACAGTCGTCTTCCTGACCCACCTCAGTGGCACACTGTCTCCCAGATTGTTTCCATGCTAAAGGAAGGGTTTTTTTAGAATTTAAAAATAGTTTATTTGTTGGTTTTAGGTTTTTTAAATGCACATATGGTTTCTGTTTTGTTTTTTTTTTTAAGATTTTATTTTTCCTTTTTCTCCCCAAAGCCCCCTGGTACATAGTTGTTTATTTTTAGTTGTAGGTCCTTCTAGTTGTGGCATGTGGGATGCCGCCTCAGCTTGGCTTGATGAGCAGTGCCATATCCGTGCTCCAGCGAACCGGCAAAACCCTGGGCCGCCGAAGTGGAGCGTGCAAACTTAACCATTTGGCCACGGGGCCAGCCCCTGTTCTTTTTTTATTTGAGGAAGATTAGCCCTGAGCTAACATCCGCCACTAATCCTCCTCTTTTTGCTGAGGAAGACTGGCCCTGAGCCAACATCCGTGCTCATCTTTCTCTACTTTATATGTGGGACGCCTGCCACAGCATGGCTGGTCAAGTGGTGTATAGGTCCACACCCCAGGCCGTCGAAACGGAGTATGCGAACTTAACCGCTGTGCCACCGGGAGGGCCCCACTTCATCTGTTCTTTGGTGTGGTACGAGCAGTTGTATCATATTGAAGCACTTTCAGTTTTATGTCTACATTTTTCCAGACAAGTTGCAGAATTATTTTGTTCAGTATGATAAATTTGTTAGAGAGATTTATTGTTATTAGGCTAAAACTATAGAATAACTAGAGAAGAGATGATACTTTGAAGAGTTCTTCTTGCGGCTACAGATGATATAAGCCTCAATTTATTCACATTTTCCTGTAGGAATTTTTACTTTGCTTGCATTGGCCCTTGTATCCTTACCTCTTTTATTTTAGTGTGTAGCCTTACCAAAGGAGCAAACCAGACTCTCATTTACCCACTGCTGCTGAGCAGAGGCGGTTGGGTGATGGTGAGAATTAATGGTGTTTGTCATTTTGGCAGCCTGGGCGATTGTGGCACACTTGGGCTAGTAGGTGTGATGTCAGGGCAAGGGTACACAGTCTGGAGGCAGGAGACGCTTCAGCTGAGCCCGTCAGCAGAGAGGGAGCCATGCCATGGGAAAACGTCTCCCCCAAGGAGGGGGGACCAAGAGTTGGGTTTTGTTCATTCAGGTGCGCATTTTCTGTGCTCCTGCCCTGTGCCAGGCCCTCTGCCAGATGCTGATGATGGAAAGATGATTAAGACGTTTTTCCTGTCTTCAGGACCTTTTCCATCTTGAGAGGACAGACATATAATTATAATTTATTATAATGCCTGTGCTAAGAACAGTGCTGGGCTATGCACAGGTTTCTAAGGGAGTGGTTCCTACAGAGGAGGTTCTCCTGACTCAGCCCTGATGGGGAAACACAGGAAGAGGCTGTCAGGGAAGGCTTTTTGGACAGAACACTCGAGCTGTCTTAGAGTTAGAGTAGGAAACAGCATGGTGAAAGCAGGTTAGTGCTGTTCAGGGGGCCTGGAGGCAGGAAGATCAGCCAGGAAGCTGCTAAAGTCATTCTGAAGGAGGAGGATGAAGCCTGAACTGGAAGAATGCCATTAACGTCCTCTCGTACTTTCTGCAATTTCAGACATGGCCTGTCCTGACTCATAGAAAATGAACTGAAGCTGAGAATTGTCTTAAGTCAGTGTCTTAGAGTTTTGATAAGTTTATACCCAATAAGAACTCTTTGAATGGAATATACCTGAAAATAAATGTATCAGTACACTACTTTCTCTCATTCACAGACTTGTAAGGCATGCATTAGTGGTGTTTTAAAGAAATGCCGTAGTTAGCACTGCTTTCCCAATCCCCATGAGTAGCTGTCAGGTGCAAAGCCTCGTGCTGTGTGCTGGGTGGCACCGAATGAGGGGCTGTCCTGCCCTTGAGCTGCGTGCACATCATAAAGTGGCTTAAAAATCACAGACCCCCTTTCGGTGCAGGGGGTACGTATCTGAACCCCAGATTTACTCCTTGTCTCACCTGTGCATCTGCGTTAGTGTTGAGTAGAATTTAGAGTCAGTACAGGAGGGTAGAGCCTAGCTGTGCGCCTCGTCCTCCCAAAGGGGTGCTGTAAAGCACCTAGCAGCGTCTCCTTGGTCATCACTGCAAGGGTGAGCTGTAGGTCTGAGATGGACACAGCTTTAGCCACACGTGCAACGGCAAGTATCCCAAATCAGGGCTTGGGGCACCTGTGCAGCTGTCGGCAGTGCACTGACCTCGTCATGACTGGGCACACGTGCCATGTCTCACCACCAGGATTCCTGTCAGAGAGGAGGTGGAAGTGAGTTGGGCTGTCAGGAACTCTGGAGTAACTGGCGCCCTGCTGGGAGTGGGCGCAGGGCACTCTGAGGATTTTCCCCAACTCCAGCCTGGCTTCCAAGGGGCTCCTGGAGGGAGTAAGTGGGGATTGAGATCCTCGTCTACCAAGATTAAGTGCCACTGTTTAAAAAGTACTGGTAATTTAACTGCAATTTAAGAGAGACTTCCCTAAGTATTATTTTAAAATAGAATTTTGGTGCTATACAGTGCAGTGTTTTCTCCTAACAAAAGCTTGCTTTTTAAAGGCTGTTAACGGAACTGAGTAGCCTGGATGATTGACATGCTGGTCAGTGGGCCGATGTTGAAGTGCCAGCTGGGGGCTAGGCATCATGCTGATGCATGCCAGGAATGCAGATTTACAGTCCGTCGGCTCCCGGCTTTCACACTGCCCCGTGGCTTGTGCAGGAGTCCTTTGGAGTCCAAATCCTTAATGGCATCATTTAACTCAAGAAGGTGTAGTCACAAATAATGTAAAGAAAGAACCAACCCAAGTTGTTGTTTTAATATACGCAAAAGCAGAGTACTCCCCTCCCAGCTTTCACAGTTATCAGTTATCAAATCATAGTCTGTTTTATTTCATCTGTTTCCCCACCCACTCTCCCCTCTCGCTACTGAATATTTTGAAGCAAATCTCAGATGTCGTAACATTTCATCTAGATTGGTTCTTTATGTCAGATTGATAACAATAAGCAGCAGGAAAATGTTCTGAGCAGGAGAGTTATATAAAGAAGTGGAGCTTAATTCAGAGTTCCTCTAAGGCAGATTGTACGTTTGAACTGGTCGAGCGCCCAGCAGCAGCATGTCTTATTTAGCTGTGAGTCTGCTCTAATCAATGTCTATGTAGTTGAGCATCACACACAGGCAAATAGGAATAATTTTGATATACAGTCTTGCCAGCAGTAAGAGGAACACAAGTACAGGGATTCCTGAGCTACATCTATTGAACTAGCAATTTGCTGCTTTTTTTTTTTTTTTGAACATGGATTAAAATTGCTGCACAAAGAAGTTGCTGGAGGATTATAAATGAGTGTGAACATTCTGGAAAAAAAGTGGGACTATGTCACAGGAGCTAAAGATGTATTTTTAACCTTTGACCCAGTATTTCTGAGGAAATAAGATATCCACATAATCTGAAATAGTCCACACTGGTGGAATGTTAATAAATTATAGTGCATCGATTTAGTGGAATATTGTGTGGCTGTTAAAAAGACAATTAGAAAACTGTTGAAGTTAGGAAATATTCAAACGATAAAATGTAGCTACTTCATTTTTCATAGGAGACTTGAGAATTAAAGTCATGTAAATTTACACAGCCCATTTTAAGAATGGTAATTGATAAGTTCATGTTATTTATTTCCAGAGGAAAAAGTCCCCCTCGTTCTTCAGTCTTAAAGAAATGCTTTATTGTGGTCTTCAAAGAAAGCAGGAGGCAAGCTCTTCTCCTTAGCCAAGCTCTGTTGGTCGTTTAAGGGCTTGTTAGTAGTTCTCGTTAATGCACTCTTTTCCAGAAAGACGTCTGAGCGTCTAAGAGGTTTGTTGTGTAAAGTGCCTGCTGTCTGAAGTGAACTCTCGTTGTAACCTTAGTGAGCTGAGCTCCTTCTTAACACACTAGGTTAAGTTTCAGGGTGAATTCAGTTCAGAATTCCTGAATATTTATCTGTCCTCCATAACTAACTAAGCGACACTTCGAGTGACCATGCAGATGGATGGAGGCCCAGGCAACAGTGGCGCGTGTGCTCCTCAGCACCAAGGAATCAGAGTGCCTGTTCCTGCTTCCAGCACTTCACCACTGCTCTTCTCCTGTCCACCCCCCACCTGCTGCATTCCACATGCAGAAATCATCTAGTAGGCCTTAGCTAAGGAAATGCACGCAAAAGTATTTTCCCAAATGTTTGAGAGTTGGTTGTTTGCTTTCTTTTAGCCCACTGACAAGGAGCTGAGAGAGACCATGGCGTTGCTGACAGCTCAGCAGACCGCTCTGGAACTTATTGTCAACATGTGCTGCAATGAAGGTTGGTTACTGTTCACGTTTCGACCTTCTCCCCCTGGACTGAGAAGGCCGCTTCCAAGAGGATTTTCTTAAATATTCTGAAAGTTGTGTGTGATTTGCACTCTCCCCAGATGCTTCCGACGATGAATGGGAAGAGCTGTCTAGCAGCGACGAAAGCGACGCGTTTATGGAGGATTCCTTCAGTGAAGGTGGCGGGCAGCTGCTGTCTCCCCTCTGCCTCTGCCACGAGGTTCACTCTGCTCTCACCAGCCACCTCATCCCAAAGAAGGTAACCTCTTTTCAGTCTAGGCTCACTGTGGAGCGTGGGAAAGGCTTGAGAAGGCTCTCCATTCTGTATACAAAAGAGGCTCCCACTCCAGGTGTAGCGAACAGTAAGACCTGGGGAACAAAACAGAATTCACTCTAGAGGAAGTAGGCTGAAGAGTGTCTTTGTCAAGCCTAACCATTTCACTTAGAAGTCCTAGGTCAGGATCTTATAAAGGGATTGGATGTAAATGACTCTGCTCTTTAACCTTTGCTTTTACTGCCTTTTTTAAATCTAGGTTTTTGAAAAAACTGCCTTTCCAAACAGCGTTGCAGTTGACATATGTTTTAGGAACCCCACTTGGAAACCTTTGATTAGAAAGTAAGAACTTTTCTATTTTTAAAACCATTTGTCGTTATGTTATTATATGAAATAGAGGACCATTAAATAGAAGATGCTGACTTCCTCCCAGACTCAGAAGCTCCAATCCTGTGTCTATTCCTGAGAGAAATGTGTGCACATGCAGTAAAACATGAGAATGTACACGGCAGTGTGGTTCAGTCCCCCAACCTGGAAACAAGCTCAGTGTCCATCAATGGCAGAATGGATAAATAAATTTTGACATAATCATACAGTAGAATACGTACAGCAGTAAAAGGAATCTGAACTAGAACTGCACAACATGGATGCAACTTATAACGTTGAGCAAGAAAGCAAGGCACAGAAGAATATACACATTGCGATTCAGGGTTTACAAGGTTCAAAAACACTAAACTGTTTTGTTTAGGGACCCGTAGGTGGTGAACTTATAAAGAAAAGCAAGGAAATGTTTACCACGAAAGTCCAGATACTGGTGATCTTTAGATCTAGATGTCTACATTTATATATAGATATATAGAGGTCACCTTTAGAGGTCAGGGAGGTGGGTGTGATAGGGAAGGGATGGGGGGCTGAGAGGGTGCTGGCAGCGTTGATTTCTTACCCAGATGCATGAGTGTTTGCTTTATAAACTGTTTGTTAAACTCTGTATCTGCACTGAGAGCTTTACTCATGTATATTTCACAATGCAAAATAATTTTAAAGATGCCATGTGTAGAAATTTTTCTAAAGCAGATTTCTTATGATTCGTAAATGAATTGTCCCTCAGAGGCCTTGAGTGCTCAAGCAATTGACGTAGTAGGTTATCAGTTCACCTTAGGATTCTTTGCTGGCTGCCATAGACTTCCTGCTTACAGATACTCCAGTCAGAACCTGAAGCTTACGTTCAACTTTAATGTCAGCTTCTGTTGGGTGACTGGTGGGGAGACAGACGGCATTCTCTCACTTCCTTCCAGAATGAACACTATACAGTGCAGAGCCCTCGTGTGTCTCCAGAGTCTGGTGTCCCTCCTGGACGTGGACCATCTGGGAGGAGCCCCAGCCCTTCAGGCCCTTGCCCAACATCTGTCACAACTGCTTTTTTCTCAGCCAGGTAAATACTGAGGGCTTGTTGTGAAAGACTGCTCGGATTGAGCAGAAGTTTGAAGGAACAAAAATTTGGACTTTGTGGTTATACTTTGCCATCCGACCTGCAGAAACCTCTCCCAAACACTAGCAGTCATTTATTTATAGTTGCCAGTGGTACAGTCGAAACAAGGTGTGCAAGCAAGTCTATGGGTCATATTTTTCTTTTTTATTAAAATTGCTTGCATCTAGTTATGTCAGGCCAGTTAAGGCTGAATCACAAATATCATAAATATAGGCCTCATTAAGATATTTTGGTAATTCTCTATTTTTAATTTTTCTAAAATATAAAACCATTTGATTTGCATTTGATTGGGTAATGCATACATGTATTACAGAATTCAAGAGTTATTGAGATCATAAAGTAGAAAGCCTCCCTCCTTTGTTTCACACCATCCAGGTCCTCTCCCAGAGCCAGTCCCTGTCAGCAGTTTCTTGTGTATTCTTCCAAATTCTCAGTATAAAAGTGTGTCTGTGTGTTTTAAGGCATATGGTAGAATACCATACGCACAGTTCTGCACTCTGCTTTTTCCTAACACATATCTTTCTTCAAACACCTTCACATGCTAGGAGCTGAATCTCCAAGCTGCAGGTCTCTGATGTGGATTAATTTCATTTGTCCATAAAAACCGAGAGACATACTGTATGTGGTTAATTATTTTTTTCAAATGACTTGCCTGTACAAGGTTTAACGCATGCTCTTCTAACAGATTTTCATAGTTCGTTGTAGTGGAATCTCCTTTGGCTTAGCTACATTGAACTGGGAGCTCACACCAAATGAACAAGACAGATAGACACTGAAACAGAAGAAAGGTAGTCTTTTATGCATTAAAGGAAAATTGTCCACGTTACTCTACCCAGCGTGCGTGTCTGGGGTGAGGGTAACATGGGAGTGTGAATCTACCCAGCGTGCGTGTCTGGGGTGAGGGTAACGTGGGAGTGTGAATCTACCCAGTGTGCGTGTCTGGGGTGAGGGTAACATGGGAGTGTGAATCTACCCAGCGTGCGTGTCTGGGGTGAGGGTAACATGGGAGTGTGAATCTGCCCAGCGTGCGTGTCTGGGGTGAGGGTAACATGGGAGTGTGAATCTACCCAGCGTGCGTGTCTGGGGTGAGGGTAACATGGGAGTGTGAATCTACCCAGCGTGCGTGTCTGGGGTGAGGGTAACATGGGAGTGTGAATCTGCTCGCTCGGCTCCTCAGGTTCACATGTCTTTAGGGGTTTTTTGAGGGTAAACTTGAAGGTGTATAATACCTGCTTTTTGCACTAAGTTTAGAATCTAACCACCAAATAAGATCTAACTCCACTGTGTCACCTTCAGTGTATTGTTCATATGTTTCATTGTAAACTGTTTAACATTTCCCCTTCTCAGACACGACATTATGTCCAACAGTTGAAAGTCTTAAGAGATCAAAACATGGTCAATTTTGACAAAATACAAGTGTCTGTGTAAGCATTCATTCAAGAATATTCCCCAGTTCTAGAGACATCTATTTTGCACTCTGTCCAGTTCATAAGAGGTGCTATGTGTTTAATGGCATATGTTTTAGAAGTTCTAGGTTAGTTTTTTTTAAATTAAGTAAATGAACATCCAGAAACCCATATATAGTTATTGTTCTGTCTCTACTGACTTTTCAACGTTTGTCAGTTAATGTGGAGTCTTCAGGTGGTCTCGAGCTGTGCATTCTTTAACTGGCATAATCTTGTGAAGCCATGCCCCGCAGTACCAAAGACAGGATATAGACAGGATATGTGCAGTGCTAGCCCGATTCCCATTCCAAACCAGGGCTGGGCCAGCTCTGGAGTACACAGGCACTTGTCCGTGTGAGCTGGCCAGATTATGACTGTGGCTTTGTATTTCTCTCCCGGCCTTATAAACCTGGACGTAATCTGGATGGTATGGCAGGAAGAGGGTAGTTTTATCTGACTTTTGCTGGCATTCTAGCTCCCGTTAGCCCAGCAGGATGTTCCATGGGGTGGGGAGGGGATGGATGGCTGTTCCTCATGCCCACTCGCATCCACCCATTCCCATGGGTTCCCTGCAGGGAGTGGTAGCACACTGCTAGGCCCCACGCGAGCAGGACCTACCCTACCTCTTGCTGCTTTCAAGCTCTGTCTAAGCTGAGAGAACCGCGTCTGCTCTGGTTCCACAGTCTGCCCTCTCTTCCCTCTGGGCCTTTTCTCAGTGAAAATCTGATCAAGGTACCATAAGCCCCGTCCCCAGGCAGCGTGGAGGGTTTATTTCACTTGGAATAAATGCACGTATTCTGTACCTCTGCCCTACAGAAGCACTTCGCTGTGTTTCTCCCAGTTCAGCTGCTTTTTGTGGTCATTGATGCTTGCTCGTTTATCACCCGGAAGGATCACAGGAAGACCGTACCAAGCTGAGCCCTGGGGAAATAATGGAAAGTTTCTGAATTGTGGGAAAATAGAATTAAACACTTTGATTTTAAAGTAAATTCCAATTGCAGGGCTATTCTTGACATAATCTCTTCTTATCTGAATGAACTGTTTGATAAAGGATAATCACGTATATTTGGAGATGATATTCCAGTATAGTCCTTCTAAACATTTGGGATTTATTAAATGAGGTAATCCTATCCTATGGATTCTACATATGTGAACTCTTACTGGGAATCTGGCGGGTAGGATGAAGCTAAATGTCTCTACTTTTTCGTGTTACCACGTTTGACATTTACTTATATTCTTTAACAATACCACTTGTGTTGACCTTTACTGAGAATTTGTCAGAAAGGCAGAATGATGTGAAATTCCGTTCCCCAATTTGGATAAATGACCAGAAATGTGAATTAAGTAGAAATTGCCAACATATTTTTCTTAATTCAGGCAGAGTATGAATTACACATAGTGTAAAACAGTTGTGTTGTTTAGATTAGAGTTTTGAATCTAAGGTAATGCTTATTTTCCTGAGAATGGAGGACAGAAAAAAATTGATTCTGAGATATGTTCTAGTTTGTATTGAGTTCTTCACAACATGACTCGTTTTATGTGTAGTATGAATTTCTAGGGCCACACTTACAACTTTAATCAAATAGAAATACAACGTACATTTCAGAGCCAGCGTGGTGACTTTTGAAGTTTGATGGTAACGACTTGATACCAGTTTTTGAGTGCCTGTTGGGTACGAGGCTGTATGACCTCGGCGCTCTGACCTCATCTTCCTGATGAGGAAGCTGAGACTTAGGGAGCTTGAGAAACTTCTTGAAGGTCATTCATTCTTTTAATGTGTTATTTATTGAACGCTTCCTTGATGCCATGTGCTGTTCGAGGTCCGAGGGATACAGATGTGAACAAGATGGGCAAGGCCACTATGCTCATGGAGCTTGCATTCTCGTGTAAATAAAATTTTGATGTAATTTCAGCTATGAAGAAAAACATAGAAGCTGAATGGTGTGAGGTGCTGCATTAGGCAGTTTGTGTGGAAAGTCCTCTCTGAGGAGGTAACATTTGAGCAGATACCAAAACGAAGTGAGAGGTTACATCCTGTCAAAGGCAGGATCCGTCCCAGTCTGTCTGACCCTAAAACTCTCGCATTGTCTGTTCTGTGATACTTAGGGAAAGCCTCACTGCTCTATGTAATGCAGAGCTGAAAATGAGAGAGCCAAAAATATGGTAAGCTTTGAATCAAATTTGTGCAGAAGCTGTCCCTGCTTTCATGCAGACAGCCTAAAAAGGGGCGTCAGAATCTTTATAGGGTCCCGGGCACCACAGGGCAGAAAGCCAAGGTATCTATTGCTTCATAAAAAATCACCCCAAAACTTTGTAGCTTAAAACAGCAATAATCACAGGCTGTTTCTCATGGCTTCTATAGGTCAGGAATTTAGACAGGGCACAACCGAGATGGTTTGTCTGTACTCACAATGTCTAGGCTTATGGTTCTCAACTGGGAGCAGTTTTGCCCCCCAGGAACATTTGGCAGTGTCTGGAGGCATTTTTTGTTGTTACAACTTGGGGTTGCTGCTGGTATCTAGAGGGTAGAGGCCTGGGATGCTGCTAAACATCCTACAGTGCACAGGAGAACCTATACACACATCAAAGAACGATCTGGTCCAAAATGTCAGTGTGCTGAGGTTGAGAAACCCTAGCTTAGGGCCTCTGCTGGAAAACTAGGAGTTAGCATCATCTGCAGTCTTGTTCCCGCACGTGTCTGACAGTTGGTGCTGGGGCTGTCAGCCAGAACACCCACAAGTAACCTCTTCATGTGACCCGGGCTTCCTCACATGGGGGCTGAGTCCCAGGGCAAGAGTCGGGAGAAGAGAGGGCACACACGTGAGCCAGTGGAAGTCGTGCTGCCTTTTGTGACCTGGCCTGTCACTTTAATGTGTTCTGTTGGTTGAAGAGGTCACAAAGTGCCACCTAGATTCAAGGGGAGGGAAAATAGACTCCACATCTTTATGGCAGGGGCAGGGTTCTGGAAGATCATGCAGAACTGGAAATACTGTTGTGACTATTTATGTAAAATGAAATCTACCACGCCAAGTCAGTCACTTTTCCTTTCCACCAAAGGGTTAGGGAGCCAGCGCACCCCGGCTTGCTCACCCTTCTGTGTGACGGTGTTAGCATAACTGTCTATTGTTCTTGTTCTGTTTGTCCCACGTGGGAAAAAGAGACCGTGAGAAAAGAGTAAAATGGGCAGGGGAGAGAAGGGGAAGTCGGATCAGTGAAAACATTAGAAATCACTGAAAACCAGTGCCAGGCCACTGCACAAGCAACAGCTCTTGGCTAGGCAGTGGGTCAGGCTGGCGAGGAAGCACTCTTGCTCGCGTGGTGACTCTACTCTAGGTCTGCCCAGCACTGTGATGGTGATCTCTGAAAAGCTGAATTCAGTCTGCAAAAGCTGGCTCAGGTGTGTCACATGCTAAAGGGTGAGTCAAATGAGAATCCAGTGTCTGGAAGCCAAGAACTGTCTGAAGAACACTCCCTGTCATGGTTATTTTAATGGTAGTCGTCCTTCAAATGCAAGTATATGGTTCCCACGGGGCTGTTTACTAGAAGTTTTGGCTTAAATATCAAGTGTTTCTATAATTATAGCATGTATTAACATTTGACATGCTTTGTTTTGATTCTTTTTCTACAGAATGTCTTGGAGAAAGACAAATTTATATTTCATTCTTGTGTTTTAGATTTTGCTAAACATGTTGACTTTCTAGAAGCCATAAGTAGTGCCTTGAGGGCCCTTTTGCAAACAATGGCCTCCAAGAACATTTCTCAGGTAAGATTTTTAAATGTTTATGTGAAACTAGCAAAGATTATGTATTATGGAGGCAAAATTCATTACTTAACTTTTTTTATGTATTTGTTTCTGTTATCAGAGTAATGCATGATTTTTATTTTTTTATTTATTTTTTTCTTTTTTCCCTTTGAATTTCATCTGCTTCAACCTTTGTTATATAAGAATTCTTTTTTTTCCCTAAAGATTGGCACCTGGGCTACCAACTGTTGCCAATCTTCCTGTTTTTTTCAAAGATTGGCACCTGGGCTAACAACTGCTGCCAATTTTTTTTTTTTTTTTCTGCTTTATCTCCCCAAACCCCCCCTGTACACAGTTGCATATCCTAGTTGCACGTCCTTCTAGTTGTGGGATGTGGGACGCTGCCTCAATGTGGCCTGACAAGCGGTACCATGTCTGCGCCCAGGACCCGAACCCTGGGCGGCCGCAGCGGAGCACATGAACTTAACCACTCGGCCATGGAGCCGGCCCCGCATGATTTTTATGGTTTACAAGGATTTACATTTGTACAATTAATCCTTGTAAAAAGAAAATAAAAATGCTTTAAATAAAAAGTAAGATCTTCTCCTTCTCCCCACCACCACCACCAACATACATATAGAAGATTTTTATTGATCTAACTTATTTGACATGTGTTGTAAATATTTTTACTGAATGTCATTTGTCATTTTTTTAACTTTTTTTTTTCTGAAGAAGATTTGCCCTGAGCTAACATCTGTGCCAGTCTTCCTCTATTTTGTGTGTGGGTTGCCGCCACAGCACGGCTGACAAGTAGTGTAGATCTGAGCCTGGAATCTGAACCTGTGAACCTGGGCCCCCAAAGCTGAGCATGCCAAACTCAACCTCTATGCCAAGGGGCTGGCCCCCTTTTTTTAACATTATATTACAGAAATTTTCAAGCGTGCCCTCCTGACCCTCCACAGTGATCCATTTGCATCTCTGTGATAGGTGCCTTATCACTTTTATTTTTTTTAATTAAGGAAATTTTCTAACATTCCAAAAAGCAAATAATAGTATAATGAACCTGCAGGCTCTATCACCAGCTGTCAACAGATTCTCAACATCCTGTCATTCTTGTTTCATTCATCTCCCCTATATTTTTGTGTTTTGCTTCCTGGAGTCGTTTAAAGCAAGTCATATTATTTCACCCGTAAATATTTTATTATGCGCTTCATTATGTGTCTGTGACAGAAAATGAACTTTTAGGGGCCGGCCCCGTGGCCAAGTGGTTAAGTTCGCACACTCGGCTTTGGCAGCCTAGAGTTTCGCTGGTTCAGATCCCAGTCCTGGACGTGGCACTGTTCGTCAGGCCACACTGAGGCGGCATCTCACATAGCATAGCACAAACAGAGGCACTCACAACTAGAATATACAACTATGTACTGGGGAGCTTTGGGGAGAAGAAGAAGGAAAACAATCTTTAAAACAAGAAAGAAAATGAACTTTTAGAGAACTTAACCACAATACCATTACCCCTAACCCCCAAATTAACAGACGTTTCTTTTGGTTTTGTGTGTGTGTGAGGAAGATTGGCCCTGAGCTAGCATCTGTTGCCAATCTTCCTCTTTTTACTTCAGAAAGATTCCTGCTGAGCTAACATCTATGCCAGTCTTCCTCTATTTTATGTGGGACACTGCCACAGCGTGGCCTGATGAGCGGTGCTAGGTCTGCCCCCGGGATCTGAACCTGCAAACCCTGGACCACCAAAGCAGACGGGCAAAGTTAACCACTACACCACTGGGCCAGCCCCCAGACATTTCTTAATTTATCATTTGATATGCCTGAGTTCAGTTTTCCTGATTGCCTTAAAAATGTCTTTTTCAGTTGCTTTGTTTAAATCAGAATCCCACTCGTTGCTTTTAACAGCTTTAGTGCGATTTAATTTACATACCATACAATTCACCCGTTTAAAGTATGCAACTCAGAGGTTTTTAATGTATTCCTGGATTCTTGGGTCTCCTAATCTGTAACCTTTCCCCTGCCCAGCCCCCTTCCCCATGCTATTCATCCATTGTGGACGCTGTCGCTTGTGCTGTAGCATCTTCTGCATTCTCAGATTCGGCTGGTTTACTGCAGTGGTATTGTTCAGTATGTCCCTCTATCTCCCATGTTTCCTGTAAACTAGGAGCTGGGTCTAGAGCCTGAATTAGATTCCGGATCAGATTTTTTTGGCAAAAACAATTCATGGTGTTGTTCCTACTTTTATATCACAAATCACATAATGTCGTAAGATACTGACGTTAAGGTTAATCAGCGTGCTCACTTAGTGGTTGTAGCTCCCAGTGATTGCTGTGGTCTAGATGCATCATTTCATTACAAAATGGAGATATCCTAATTGTGTCATTCCTTTTACATTTGTTAGCTATGCTTCTTCTATAAATAAGAACTTTCTGTCTTTGATTATTTGGTAATTTTGAAATAAAGTTCATTCAAAAAAAGACAAGATAAATGTATGATTCTCCCCCCACCCTTTTTTCTGGAATAATTAGTTGGTGCCCCAGCCAGTCTCTAAGTGACCAGTGAAGTGGGTTTTTTTTAAGTATCATTATAACTCAGGGGTTTTTATAGATTTGTGTTTCATTCCATTGTAGTCATTCTTTTTGATGCAAAAGTTGTCCCATCCTTAGCTAGGAGTCTGTTCAGCTTGGCTCCTGTCTCCCTTTGACGTGGACCCAGCAGTTTTGATAGCTTCCAGGCACAAGGCCGTGTCCAACACTCATCTTGTACTTTTACTCTTTAAAACCTGACATCAGTTTTTTCAAGAAGCACTGATTTCTTTGGTGGGAAATTAAATTTTGGAGTGCTTACTGCTACTGTGTGATTGCTTCTAGACCTTCTAAGTGGAAATAGTATTTTTTAGGAAGATAAAAATACATCATAATTTCATGCTGATATTTTCAGTTTAAATAAAAAGAGTAAAGTATTTTTACTTAACTTTTGATTATATAATTGTATCTTTTTGGTCCTGGAAATTTTGCGTCTTAGTGATATTTAAATTATCATTTGCTTTATCCTACAGAATGTATTTAATTCAAATTTGTTTCAAAATGACAATGCTGTTATGATTACTAACAGTACACTGCCAAATGCAGTTTCAGCTTTCTTTGTGATTCTTCTCGTCCTTAGGAAAATCCCTCTAGGACTATACGGTCCAATTGCTGTGTTTTAAAGTTGCTTAAAAAAGTTCTCTATGTGTCTTGTTATAAACTTAGCTTCAGTTGTTGCAGCTTTTTATTTTTTGAGACGTTTTTTGTTTGCTTTAGTTTTTATTTTTTAATTATAAAAAATAATTACAGTTTCAGAGTTAAAACTGAAGCAAGAGATAGAGAAAAATATGGTATATACGTACAATGGAATATTTTTCACTTTAAAAAGAAATGGAATTCTGGTACGTACTACAGAATGGGTGAACCTTGAAGGCACAAAAGGACAGGGAGTGAATGATTCCACTTTGAGGTGCCTGGTGTAGTTGGATTCAGAGGCAGGAAGGAGTGGAGTAGTGGTTACCAGGGCTGAGGGAGAGGGGGAGCAGAGTCAGGGCCTCGTGGGGACGGTTTCCATATGGGATGATGAGAAGGTCCTGGAGGTGTGGGTGGTGGCAATGGGTGCACAACAATGTGAATGTGCGTACTGCCACTGAACTGTGCGCTTAAAAATGGTTAGATGGTACACTTTACATTACGTGTACTTTATTCAAGAAAGATATTTAGAGAGGTCTAGCTTCTATCCCTTTTGCCCTGTTCTTTTCTTTCTGCCGTTGATAATCATCCTTTTTAGGTTTTTTTTTTTTTAAAGATTTTATTTTTCCTTTTTCTCCCCAAAGCTCCCCAGTACATAGTTGTGTATTTTTAGTTGTGGGTCCTTCTAGTTGTGGCATGTGGGATGCCTCCTCAGCATGGCCTGACGAGTGGTGCCATGTCCGTGCCCAGGATCCGAACCAGGGAAACCCTGGGTCGCTGAAGTGGGGCGCGAAACTTAACCACTCCACACTGGGGCCGGCCCCTTGGGTTTTGATTTATCATTCTTTTGTTCTTTTTTTGAAAACATAAGCCAGTATATATATGTTTGTATTTCACCCCTTTTCTTAAAAGTAGTGCTCTCCACCTTGCTCTTCTTCTCTCCCTTTCCAATCATCATAGTATATAGATGTCGTTTTTTTTTTCTACAGCTTCGTATTCCTCCATTGGGTAGATGTTCCATATTTATTCAGCCTGTCCGCTACTGATGGCTATTTGAGTAATTTTCAGTCTTTTGCTATTATAAACAGCACTGCAAGGAATAGCTTTTTTACAGATGTTGTTTTGTGTTTTGCTGTTGTGTCTTTGGGATAGATCCCTAGGAGTGGGCTTGCTGGGGTGGAGAGGGGACGGATTGCAGTGTTTCCGCATTGCTGTGGTCTCCTCCTCAGGTCAGCCATGGCGAGCCCCCGCAGCCGTGTTGGAGAGTGCCTCTTTTGCCGCAGCCTCACCAGCAGGGTGGGTTGTCAGAATGTTGGATTTTTACTGAATTGCTAGGTGACAAATTATATCTCAACTTTAATTTGCATTTCTCTTATTATGAGGAGGTTGGACATCTTTTAGTGTGTTTTAAGGGCCTTTGCATCTCTTTTTCTGTGACCGTTCCTGTCTTTCACCAGCTTTGCTATTGGGTTGGTAGTCGTCTTTGTATGTAAGAGCAAATCTAGGGCCTTACCTCAGTCTACTGAAGCAGAAACGTTGGGGAGGGCCCAGCAATCCATGTTTTAGCAAGTTCTCCGGGTGATTCTCCCACACACTAAAGTTTGAGAACCGCTGTTCAAAACCATCCTTGCTCTTCCTACAATCCCCCAGTTTGATTAACACGTCATCAGACCGTCCCACCCGCTTCTCTTGGTTGCAGTCATCTGCTGCCCTCTGAGGCACTTCCTGTTTCTTGAAGATTCCTGCTGTTGGGCTCTGTAACTCTTCACTAGTCCTGTCACAATTCTAGGTGACTTTACTGTCCACGCAGATGCCCTTTCCGGTAACGGCTTCGCAGCTCTTGGCCTCCTTTTCTCCAGTGTTCCTGTCTTCCTCCTCCCTTAGTCACTCCATGGCCGGCCACTCTTCTAGAGTGGTGCTCCCAAAACTTTATCTTGTCCAGAATTTAATGGGACTGTCTGCTGTTTCACTGTTAAATATAGTATGCTATTGGCTTCTAATATAAACTTTTTATTTAAAAAAATTTTTCTTTAAGGAATGCCACTCCTAAGCTTGGTCCTTTAAAAACTTCATTCCCCTACCCTCACCTTTTGCCAGCTGTGTGTCAATGCCCTGGGGGACTTTGAAAGCCTGATGTTGAAGATAAAGCATTTATCAGTCTGGTTCACTGAAGGTAACATGGAACAGAGACGTCACCACCATCTATCTCTGCCACTAATTGGAATATAGGTTATCAAGAAATAAATTGCTTTGAATCACTAAAAAAAAAAAAAAAAAAAAAAAAATTTTCTTTATATATTTGAGAATTTTTTCTAAGAACGTAATTTTTGACCCTCAGTTTCTGTGAAATGAGAATGGTAATAATGCCTGCCCTGCTGTGTGGCTATTGAGAGGATCCGAAAACTCTATGTAGGGCCTATAGGAATATGAAGTTTTTCATTGATTTTCCCGTGGTGTTCGGACAGTAGCTTACTGGGTCAACCAGATGTTTAAAGAAAATTCCTCAAAGCCCATGCACAGTGACCCATTCATATGTCTTAAGATCATGCATTCTCAGGTTGGCATGAGCAAGAAGGAGCCTGGCTCTCCAGTGCGTTCTGTGGAGAGGACATAAAGGACTAGGTTGCTGAGTGACGGCACCAGGAGCGAATACAGCTGTGCTGCTGCCCTGTGCTCTGCACCTCGCGGGTCTGTACACGCTGGGCCGCCTACGCTTGTGAGCCGTGCTGGTGCTGCACAGCGCACCCTTCCTGTTCACGGCAGCCTCGGCCCAGCCATCAAGAAGAGTTGGTGGAATTTTTTTCATGAGAGTATTTTCTGAGAAATGTGGGCCTGCTAGCTGTTACCTCTAGATTTGGCAGTAGCAATGCAAATGATTCAGAAATGAGTTTGAGGATTAGAACTGTTCAGTACTGCTATAGGTAATAACAGCGAAGACGGAGTGAGGGCTGTGTACGCATTATTTACTCCTCGCAGTAACTCTGTAGGGAGGTTACTTCGCCTGTCCCCATGTTCCCGATGGGGACGTGGGGAATCTAGTGGGTCACTGACTCGTGCTGGCGTGTGAGTGGGAAGTAGTGGGGCCGGGATTTGGATCTGAGACGTCAGGCTCCAAATCCCAGGCCTTCATCACCACACTCTGCTGCTGCCCACACGTGGCGGCCTGGCCACGCCACACTCGCTCTTTCTCTCGGAACCTCTGTCCGCGTGTGTGTTCACATTAGCTTAAAATGAAAAGGATCACTCCATGGTGGCAGCGCTGTATAATTTAACGGTTTTTACGATCTTTAATAATTTACCATAGCACATACATCTCAGAGTATGTTCTCGCCTTGTATAGATCCCACCAGTTTTTATTAAAGCAACGTGATCCTATTTACGTTTTTTATGATCAATGTTAAAAAGACATTAGAATCTCTTTAGTCTGTGTACATCTCAATGAAAGTCTCTTCAAATGAAACTACCAGGAGCTGAAGCCTGGGGTAGCTTCCAGCTGGGGTAGCTTGAATGACAGTGACGCGAACAGCCCCCTCGCAGTTCAGGATTCCCAGCTGCATTTGGGAGTGATTAAAACGTGTGGTTGCTTCTCTGTTCTAATTGTGCAGCCTATAGAAGAGATTCCTGTCAATCCTGTTTCACATTCTATTGGAATTGGTTGAGTTTAACACTGTAAATGCTCTCTTCTTCTCTTTCAACAGTGTATGACTCCTGATCAGCTGATGACGCTGTGCAAAGCAGGCATTCACAGTAGTAATGTCGGGGTTAGAGTAAATGTTGTTAGTATTTTAGGAATCACTGGGAGTGTCCTTGCCAAAGAAGATGGTACACTCGAAACTCTTAAGGTAAAGTAATATGCTTCCAACCTAAAATGGTAAATAATTAGAAATGGGGGAAGAGTATGCATTTTTAAAAACTTGCATGGACGTGAGAAGTCATATCAAGAAGTTGCTTCCTAAGGTGTATTATTAAGATAGACCCTCGGCTTGATGTCACTCCATGCCTCAGACAGCTGCTTGGAAAGTTGAGCCACAGTTTTCCACTTAACTTTACTCTGGAACTGTTTTTTCAAAAGTAAATTTGTCTTCAGTGAAAGGCCAAGTTCAAAATCGTTAAAGATTCCTCTGCCTTTGCTGTCACATAAAATGTGTGCACATCATAGTCTCCTGTGATGAAGGAGCAGTCCGCCCAGTTTTCTTAGCACACCAGGCTGAAGCACATACCAGCCAACACCACACAGTTCACTCTAAGACACTCCATACATTTTAAGCAGCAGCTCTGGTAGTGCCAATACCAAAGGAACTCACTCAACATATTTGCTTCCAGCACAGTTGCTCAGGAGCTGCACTGCTAGAGATGCAGCATCACGAGTAGCTAAACGGACAGGAATAGTAAAATTACCCTTCCTTGTGCTAGTCATTGCTGGAGTGTTATTACTGCCTAATGGGAAATAAGCCAATTACTAGAAAGCACTTCTTAACTTACTAAGTACTTTACAATGATAACCAAATATTTTAAGACCCTTATTCTGAAAAGATGATACATGCACATAGCAAAACATTTAGAAAAACAGAAAAGAATAATATAGTGAAAGGGCTCCTCTCCACTCGAAACTCCTAGTCCCTCAGTTCAGCTCTAGAGAGGCAGCTGCTGGCACCCGTTTGTTCTGTATCATTCCAGAGATTTTTGATAGGCAGCCCCAGAAGTGAGCGAGAGTGTGGCTGTGTGTGCGCACACGTACTCAGGTGGGTGTGTGTATGTGCCACCTCCGCCCCTTAAGATGAGAACTTCCAAGGCCTCACTTTAGAGGAACAGCAGTCTTTACTCAGGCAGAACGTAATAGTCTTTAAATGTTGTTACTTAGTCATCTTTCCAAGCATGAAGCAGAAAGTACACTGAATTTTGTATGCCCGTCAAGTGTACTTAACAGCCATTAGTATTCGATCATATGTACATCATAGAGTTTCCTTGCTGGGTATGTTACAGTAAATTAAAGACATCATGGTATTTTGCCCTTCGTGGTTCACTGCATGTCTTAAAACAGAGACAGTTTCTTATGTAGCCACCATTATGACTCCTTACACAGTTAACAGTTGTTTCTTAATATGTCTGATACCTGGTCCATATTCAGATTTTTCCAGTTGTCCCAAAATTCTCTCTTTACAGATAGCTTGTTTCAGCTAGGATCTAAGTCAAGTGCACATGCCATGCTTGGTTTGGGGTCTTTAGGCCTCTCTCAGTCTAGAAGAGCTCTCCCCCGGCACCACCCAGTGCCACCTGTTTCGTCCTCAGTTGCTGGGTCGTTGAGTTGCATGCTGTCGTCGTTGCCCACGGAGTGTCCAGCCTCGTGGGTTTGTCTCACTGCCGCCTTGTGGTGTTGAGTTTGTCCTTTATCCTCTGTGTTTCCTGCAAACTGGAAGTTAGGTCTAAAGGCCAGATTAGATTCAGATTCAGATTCATCTTTATAATAAAACTGCTTCATAGGTGATGCTGTGTGCTTCATGTTATATTATAGGATACTAAATCTAAGCACTATCTTAGCGGTTATCTAGCCCACTTAAATTCAGATGAGAAAGTTGAGGCCCAGAGGGGCTAGTGGACTGTCCAGGAGTCAACTGTTATTTACGGTAGAGCCAGAGCCTGGACTCGGGGTACTCAGCATTTCCAGGCTCCCACCCGTGATGCCGGACGAGCACATCACCCTTAAGACACAAAAGGTGACGCAGAGCAGCCAAAATGAAACAAATCCACTCTTGAACAGTTCTTTGCAGATTAGAAATGGTCTGTTCATCACCTAGCTAGTTGTGAAAAAATGGGTGGATGTTAAAAATCATTACAAGTGAAGCAAAATTAGGTAAGTGTTGTGGGGTTTTTAAATTGTCCTAGAGTGTTTGTCATTAATTTAAAAAGCAGAATTTTTTCTGAATATTTCTATGCATTTTGACACCATGGGGAAAGCCTTTTTGAGGAAGATAGAGGGGAAAATTTAATAATTTCCAAAATCAATTTTTCATATCTCGTTTATGGATCTTAATTCATTTTATTTAGGAATATAAACTCTAATGTTTAATTGATCTTGGTATATTTATAAATATATGCTGTCTTTAATCTTTAGTCTTTTCAAAGCTTTAATTTTTCCCTGGCATTTTTATATATAATATTATGCATAAATTATTGCCACATTTAAAGTCAGCACTTGTTTTGGAAGCTGACCTTAGACTGTTGTACGGTGACAGTGCGTTTTGTTGTCCCCAGACCATCGGGTGCCTTCTGCTGGAGGTGGCCACCAAAGACCCTTCCCTGGTTGTGGCAGGAGAAGCTCTGGACGCCCTCTTTGATGTTTTTGCCGACGGTAAAGAAGCTGAAAGGGCCTCAGTTCAAATTAAATTGTTCTCTGCTCTGAAAGAATTCCAGCCAGTCTTCAGAATGAAGGCATGTAGCCATTTTATTTGGAAATCTTAAGTGTCAGCAGTCTGTGAAAGGGCGAGTGGCCCCCTCCACGCAGTCCCAGTGCCTCCCGCGGCGCTGCCTCGTCTGTGTGGACGCCTGCGGGCTGGGCAGCTCAGCATCCTTGCTGCCGAATCACCGGGGCCTGAGCCCACACGGGGTCTGGCAGGTTCCTCTTTCTGCACCAGTTTAGTGCTGCTGACAGTGCTGCCCACAGGGAGCACTGTGTCTGCAGCCGACAGAGCACTTTCACGCACATTGGACTGTATTTTGCCTTGTAATCATTCTAGCTTCATTTCATTTTCATGACTGTTTCCCTTTGGTGCCCTGAAGAAAAGGCAAACTCCCAGCTGGTCTGTACTGGAGAATGTAGCTACTTTCCTTAGCCATTTTATTTATTTATGTTTCATCAGAAGCATCAAACCTAACTTTGAGTCAGAAAATAATTTTTAGTACTCTTTGGCGGCAGGGGGAAGAGCAACGAGGAATTTTAAAAGCAGCCTTGACTCACGTGTCTGCAAGTTGAAGTTTGCCATTCTCCTCTTATCTAAACATCAGTTTTTCCTATGTCACTAAGAAATAAAAATATTTGTATTTTTTGCTTTTAGATTTTAAACATTTTCTCTTAAGTCTTTGTCAAGAGAGTACAGGTTTTGATGAAATATTAGCTTACTTTTATTGTTTTCCAATATGTATTGCTTTTATCTAACAAGGTTCTAGCTCAAAATTCAGTTCTCATGGAGAGAACTCTGTGATAAGTTTTTAGGTGAATGTGATGGTGTGTCTGGAAATTTTAATTTTCTGGAATTTCTTTAAGGCATAAAAAATAGTTTTCTTTTCCAGAAGAAAAGAAAAACAGGAACACACACCATACACATTCTGTCATCACCACATTGAAGTCAGTGTTTGTTTAAGAGTGTGAATTTTGCTTTGTTTTTAGCATTTTCATGTTTTGGCATGTTACATTTAAAAATGTAATAAAAGTGGCTAACATTTGAGTTAAGCTTCACCAGTCGGTGACTTAATTCAGGGGGAAGAAATTGAACGGTTTGCTCTTAATTATACTTTGCTCAAGCCTGCAGTTTTTTCAGCAGTGAGAGGCTTTATTCCCACCTCTTACCTGCCTCATATGTACCAAATGGAGTGGTGTTTCTCTAAGCAAAGACTAATGGACATTAGTATTTTCCCCCTTATTATCCAAAGGGTAGCATAGTATATTCACAGCCCTGCACTCCCTGTGTTTTTCCTTAACTTACTGTCTCCTGGAGAGATTTCCATACCAGTACATGGAGCACGTCCACAGTTCTTGAGAGTCCCAGGCCCTCTGCCCTGCTGAGAAAGGAGTCTGCAGGATAGGAAGGAGACAGTCTCCCCCAGTTCCGTGCAACTGCAGGGAAGGCAGACGTGGTTAGAGCCGGCGAACTGCAGGAGCAAGTGCCTAGAAAGGAGGGGTGTGAACTATGAACTAGGAAGTAACGCGAACCTCTGGAAGGCCTGTTGTCCTGATTGATTTTTCTACTTTATACGCATTGCTATGGTAATAATATTTAATTAAGCGTTTTTCTTTTCTCAGAGGTATAAAGCCCTAATGAAATTTCTTTGTTAGCCAGGAGATCAGCCTGTAGTTTTTTATATGAAGCTCCTTTGTGAATGAAGCCACAATTTCATTAAAGGCTATTCAATATATATTTAGCCCCAAATTGCATTTAAACACAATACAGTGCGTTTGACTAAAGAGCTTCTCTAGAGCCCTGGTTCTCAGAAGTGCGCCGTGCCCGCCCCAGCAGCAGCACTTGATTACTGTTAGCAGTGCAAATCCTCAGGCCCGCCTCCAGGCCTACTGAACATCAGCGGCTCTGTGGACGGGTCCACCCGTCTGTTTGTAACAAGCTTTCTGGACGCTGTGGCGCCCTGAAATGTGAGAACCGCTGCTCTAGACGGGGCACGAGGTGCAGTGCACATAACACAAAACCCTCTCTTTACGTCTGCGATTCAGCCGTCTTTGTAACTGTCATTTAAAAGGTGCACGATCTTAATTTATCTTTATGCTCATGTACTGTGTTCCATTCACCTTGGAAGTAAGAATGTTTTTACCACATTCTGGCAGCTGTCTTTTTCAGAAAATGGTTGAATGTGCCCCAAATTAAATGCTGTCTTTATTTAACAGAATTAGTAATATATACCAAATGACATGTTATTTTTTGGCAGATACGAAAAGAAGGGAGAGGTAAATACAGTCCAGATCAGCTGGGTGTCCTCGACAACGTGAAGATGAATTTGAGAAGGTTTATCACTTACCAGGAAGCTGTGGAGAAAAGACTGACTTCTTGAACCTTTGCAAAAGAGACCATCTCTTGCCTCAAAGTGTTGAGTGCTGAGGAACACCAAAGGGTTTCCTTCGAGTGTGTACACTTCTGAAAGTCATTTTTAATGCCTGTATTTCTGTACATTAATTTTGAAGTTCATAAAAACTTCAAAACCTGTCAGAAACTTTTTTTAAGCTCTGGGATCTGTGGCTTTTCCAATGCTCTCTAAATTATGTTTCCAGCGTGTTTTAATCCCGGGAAACAGGAGGAATGGAGGCGTGGAAACAAAGGAATCTCAGGTGGTTCTTTGTGAGCAGTGAAGAAACTTCCAAACAATCATGTTTCCCTTGAATTTTGCAAAAAGGAAAATCCAGAGCCTTGTTTGGATGATCTTTTAAGCCAGTATCATTTTATATTCACTCGATCTTTGACTAAAATATGATGACAAGCTTTATAAAATGTTTTTGTATGAAGTATACCAATTAGGCTTACCTTTTGTGAAGAAGTGAATGAGTTGAATTTCTGTTCCACTGTTTAGTAGATGGAGTATACTAATGAGCTAATGAGGTCATTGTCATCCTCTCCACAAGCGGATCTGATCAGTTACCGCTTTGTAACATCACTCCTTGTTTAATTTGATCAGAATTATGAGAAAATATTTTTTAATAAATAACTTTTGAATTGAAAGCTTTGTGTCTTACAAAATCTTTTTTTAAATACCAGATAACCCCATTCCTGGGAGTTAGCTTGCTAATGGATATTGCTTCAAATGCATGTGAGATACTAAAAACAAGACTTGCAGCAGGCATCTCCAGCATGACTCTCAATGTCCTTGAGGTAATAGGGTGACGGCTGGAGCGAGGGAAGGGCTTCAGTGTGCATAGTGTCAGAGAGGAGCCCTGGACCAGCTGTTTCCATCCGTTTGCCTGTTCACAGGAGTTGTCGGTGGAGATTTGACCACTTTCACTGGTTGATCTCAGTTGCCCTGATGACAGGCCCAGTGCCCAGTATAGGCCTGACTGTTTAGTTAGCATCCATCACCTCACATAATCACCTTCTCTTTCTTCTGGTAGGAACCTTTAAGATCTACTCTCTCAGCAGCTTTCCACTGTACAGCTCAGTGTTGGCGACTATAGTCACCACACTGCACATCACAGCCCAGGGCCTGCTCACTCATAGCTGGGAGTTGGTGCCTTTCCACCCCTTCACCCGGTTTGCCCATTCCCCACCCACCCCCTCAGCTGCCCCCGGTCTGCTCTCTGTATCTGTGAGCTCCCGTTGTTTTTTTATTTGGATTCCACATACAAGTGAGATCATACAGTATTTGTCTTTCTCAGACTTACTTCATTTAGCATAATGCTTTCGAGGTCCATCCATGTTGTTGCAAATGGCAGGATTTCCTTCTTTTTCATGGCTCAATAGTATTCCATCATATATATATACCTTTTCTTTATCCGTTAATGAATGGACATCAGTGAACATTTGGGTTGTTTCCATGTCTGGATTTCATTGTGAATAATGCTGCAGTGAACATGGGGTGCAGATGGCTTTTCAAGAGAGTGATTTCATTTCCTTCAGACATACCAGAAGTGGAATTGCTGGATCATATAGTAGCTCTAGTTTTAAATTTTTTTTTTTTTTTTTTTTTTTTGGTGAGAAAGAGTGGCCCTGAACTAACATCTGTTGCCAATATGCCTCATTTTGCTTGAGGAAGACTAGCCCTCAACTGACATCTGTGCCAGTCTTTCTCTTATTTTGTATGTGGGTCACCACCACAGCATGGCTGACGAGTAGTGTAGGTCCACACCTGGAATCTGAACCCACGAACCCAGGCCGCCAAAGCAGAGTGCACCCAACTTAACCACTAAACCACCAGGCTACCCCCGACATTTTAATTTTTAGAGAAACATCCATACTGTTTTCCATAATGCCTGTAGCAGTACATTCCCACCAACAGTGCATAAGGGTTCCTTTTTCTCCACATCCTTACCACTGCTTGTTCTCTCTTGTCTTTTATAAAAACCATTCCAACAGGTGTGAGGTTATTCTCATTATGGTTCTGAGAGACGGAGCCTCCCAGTGAAGAAAAGTTTCACAGTTCTCCTTCCTTCGAATATTTACAGAACATAATTATTTTAAAGGGAAACAAAATTTCCCATTCTGTCATTTTTCCCACACTTTCCAACCTATAGGCATTGTGCAGAACGTCTGGCACAGGGCCTAGTCTGTAGGAGGCAGTTGATAATATTTATTGAGTGAATAAATTAATGGTTTCCTGCTTTCTTAAGTAAGCTCACACACAGTTGATGAATGCAGAATCACCCCACAGAACAGTGGCAGGTGAGTTATTCCATCGAAGCTGTGCCAAGCTAAGAATGTTTCACACTCACGTTAATGGTTCGGTCTGTGTTGCTGCTGTGCAGTGTTGCTGCTCTAACAGCAGAAAAGGGGGCTGAGCATCCTCTATGGCTCTCGCTGTTCACGTGACAGCTCAGCAGAGCAGGCGAGGATTGCTCATGGCCTGGTGGAATAGAAACTATAGTTTTTCGCTGTGTGTCTATAGGAAAATAAATAGTCTGCTTTAAAATGCATGTATTTGTAAATGGTCTAGAATAGTCCACTAGAAATAGACACTGCTGTAAGCGTCGAAGGATGAACTCATATCAGATGCTCGGAGGAGAGATTTTTAAGTTCAGCCTGCCCTGGCGTGTTTGCCCAAGGAAACAGAAGTCACTGCTTCACTTCTCATCTTTGTGTTTTTTGTTTGCCTTTCAGATGGAAACTCACAAAATGTCATTTAATGACATTTCTTTATTTGCAATTTTATCTTTTGCCATAGTCTTTCAAAGAAACACCTTGGAGTTGTGGGGAGAGGAACGGCCCGGCTCTCGCGGGCTCGGCGGAGGGCTTGCTGCCTGCCTCTTGGGGATGCCCGGGCCGGTGCTTGACTGAGTTTAACCGAGATGGAGGACATGAGCAATCTCAGAACTCGCTTCACCATTCCCGAAATTCTTTGTTTTCAGCAACAATAGTGAAGTTGTGCTATAATATTTTAAAGCATCCGCTTTTAGGAGCAGCAGACTCCCTTTCCTTGCCATTTTCTTTTTGTAAAATTTGGATTTATAGTCTAGTTTTACTCCATGTATTCTATCCCCTTCAAAAGGAATCCTGTCATTGTGTCTGTCCTGTAACTGCTCTGGCCTAAGTCTTCTGTTTTGAGTAGACTAGAATACTGACAGATTTTCTTCACCAAAGAAATCTTGGCCCTTTGAATGATTCTGCCCTAGGACTTGGGATGTTGTGGAACCAACATAAAATCGAGGGTTAGTAGACATATTCATGCCAGCAGCAAGAGGCCTGTGACCACAATGGCGTCCTCTTTTCTCAGGCAGCTGCTGCTTACACTGTTCCTATGGCTGCACGGGGCCCCCTGTGCCCTGTGTCCACATCTCCTGTCCGTTTACACAGCCTGATCCTCTTTCCTTCTCAGCAATCTTGTGAGCTTCCTTGGAACTTTGTAATAAACTTTATTTTTTGATAGTCATGGTCCGTGTCTACTGCTTGCAGCCGGAAAACCCCTGATTGATAGAATATGCTGAACTTCTAGACACCTCTGTCTGTAACCTACGTGATTGCGTTGTTTGTGTAACGGAAGCATCATGTTCTGCAGCTCGGCTTTTCGCTTTCACAGTGATTCATGGTTGCACTGTCAGGTCAGGATCATGGTTAGGGTGGACCTTTCTTCTTGAAAATGAAAAATCATTTCATTTCCGCTAGATACTCTGTTAGATCTTAGCTTGATAGGTTCAGGTGGAGTTTGCTTTTCTCAGCTTGTTTTTGAGACAGCACTTTTAAACGTTCTTGTGAGTTTTCCAGTGGTTTGGAAAATTTAATCTGTTGGATCTAATCTCAAACTTGAATGAAAAATAAATCCATAGAAACTATAGGCTGAGGACCAAAGATTTTTAGAAATCTAGCAGTTGTTTCACAGCAGCAAATCTTAACCTTTTTCAGGTCGTTAATTTTGCAGAGAATCTGATGAAAATCATAGACTCTGCAAATTAATGCACAGCATCAGTTATCTATTGTGTAACAAATTACCCCAACTTAGTACTTTAAAATGAAAAATGTATTACCTCTCAGTTTCCATAGGGCAGCGATCCAGGAGCAGCTTAGCTGGTGGTTCTGTCTCAGGTCTCACAAGGTTGGCAGTCAAGGTGGCGGCCAGGGCTGCAGTCACCTGAAGGCTTGACCGGGACTGAAAGATTTCTTCCAGGGTGGCTCACTCACGTGGCTGTTGGCAGGAGGCCACAGTTCCTTGCTGAGTGTCATCATGACACAGCAGCTGTCTCCCCCTGGAGTCAGTATTCCAAGAGAGAGAAGGAGAAAGCTGTGATGCCTTTTAACGCCTAATTTGAGAAATAACCATCACTTCTGCCATGTTCTATTCACTGTGAGTCACCAAGTCCAGACCACACTAAGGTGGAGGGGAAGTAGGTTCCACGCCTTGAAGGGAGGTATCTTAAAGAATCAGTGGACGTATTTCTAAACCACCACATGCACATACATCCCTTTACTCTGCATCCGAGTTCAGAGTGTTTATGGATTTTTCAATTCAAGCATGGACATCAGGATGAGAATTGCGATTTCATATTGTACTGGTTACCCTTCAAGCTTTAAGTCAAAAGTATTTCAAGCGCTTCCAGATGCAATTGTCCAGAAATAATGATCTAGATGCAATTATTTGTTTTTATTTTATTAAACAAATATTGCCCATTTTACTTTTCCTCCAGAATGGAGTGAACATACATAGTCTTTCTGAAACGTGAACAAACAAGTTGCTTCCTTCCTTTTATGCTTTAACACCTCAGTGGTTCCCATTACCCACAATTGTAAAACCCTCGCCATAACCTGCAAGTACTTGCAGGTTATGTCAGGTTTGCCTGAGAGAGCCCGGATTTGTTAGCCTGTTAGCCCAGCATAATTATTAACAACACTCTGTTTGGCTGTCAAAAGGGCCCTGGATTAAAGTTAAAAGAAACTAAAAAGACAATGTGAAACCCAGGATCGGGTCTGGGACCAGGATGGAAACAGCTACAATGGACATAATTGAGACAACTGACCAATTGAATTTGTAATGTGGAGTAGATAATAGTACTTTATAATGCTAAATTTCCTGATTTGATTACTGTGTGTAGACAGTGTTCTTCTTGGAGGAAATACACATTGAAGTATTTAGGGGTAAAGGGTCATGATGTCTTCAACTTACTCTCAAATGATTCAGAAAAAAAATTCATCCATATATAAATGTAGAGAGAAAGAATAATAGAGCAAATGGGGCAAAATGTAACCAAGAGAATTGGGTAAATGATACATGGGACTTCTCTGAAGTATTCTTGCAACATTTCATTAAGCTTAAAATTAAATCAAAATAAAAATTTAGGAAAATAATTTTTTAAAGGGCTGAGAAAATAGTGCTCCAGTTTAGACATAAAATTATATGGTCATCCTACCATAAACCGCTGCATAGCGTGGTCCTGCTTGACCCTCTGGTCTCCTGCTCTGCTGTCTGCCTCACTCTCTAAGCTTCAGCCATTTGGTCCTTAATTCGGTGGTTTGAATGTGCCATGTCCTTTGTGTCACGTGCATATGCATTCTCACTGCCTGGCTTCTTTTCCCGCTTAGTC